AGCTGACAGAGGCTGCAGTGAACTGCCCCAGGAACTGCCTGCATAGAGACCGGCTCAGCCGCTGCAGAGCTGACAGCGCTGGGAAGGAGAGCCCGGCGGCCCAGCCTGCCAGAAGCCCAAGTCAGGGGTGCAGACCAGAGTGTAGAAGGACAAGCAAACTGCAGGACACAGGAGGAATATGCAAACTCAGACAGGACGGTCAGGGGTGGAGTCTTGGAGAAAGTGCCAACAAGGGGACTGGAGCGGTAGTACAGCGGGTAGGGAGTTTGCCTTGCACGTGGCCGACCCAGGTTCGATTCCCAGCATCCCATATGGTCCCCCAAGCACCGCCAGGAGTAATTCCTGAGTGCAGAGCCAGAAGCAACCCCTGTGCATCACCGGGTGTGACCCAAAATAAATAAATAAAAATTTTTTTTTTAAAAAAAGGTGCTAACCAGAAGTGAGCCAAGCAGTCGCCCTGGGGCATGTGAGCAGGGAAAGGTACCCGGGCCTGAAAAGGGCGTCTGATGTGCATGAGGAGAGTGAGCAGGGCATCGTTTCCTTCTTTTCTTTTCGTCTGGTGTCGTTATAACTTTTTTTTTTTAATAGAAGGGAAGGCGGATGCCCACGGCCAGTGGCTCTCAGGCTTACTCCTGGCTCGGTGCTCAGGGGTCCACCTGGGGTGCCGGAGATGGAACCAGGCTCAGTAAGGCCAGAGTCTCCTCCCCTGTCCTGTCTTCTCTCCAGCCCAGAAGCTCCTCTATGCCGGCTGCTCTCTGGAGAACAAGCTACAGGGGGCCAGGGTGGACTCAGGGCGACCAATGAGAAGGAGACCGTAGCCGTACAGGAAAATGGAAACATCGCCGAAAAAGGCTAGGAGCCCTCAGATTCTGCATGCGTCTCTGAAAACAGAACTGTGAGGAGCAAATCAAAAGCCGAGGGTGCGGGAGGAGGAGGCTGGGGAGGATGCGGAGTCTGGGCAACGCGCAGACAGTAGACAAGGCGGCGCAGGACCGGCCGGTGGGGAGGGTAGCAGCCTTCCTCCTCGGATACAGCAGGTCTGGACACCAGGGGAAGAGGCCGCGTCTGAAGTTCAGAGGCCGTTTCTAGAGGAAGAGGCCGTGGAACGGCCCCGGCCTGGGTGAAAGCTCTCTGCGGGGCAGGCACAGGCGAGCACCCTCCGGGACTGAATTCCTCGAGGCTGGGAACACAGGGTGGGTCGGGCAAAGGAAACCGAGCTGGGGCTTAGCTTGGCTGGATGCAGGACACTGCTGTTGGTGTCTCTTTATCTCAGCTTCTGGCTCCGTGCCCCCGGGTTCCTAGTAGGCATCGAGTAAAGAAATTAAACTGTCCTCTGAAACGCAGCTAGCCTACACAGTTATTTCCTAGAAGGTCCCCTGGTGGGGGAGGAGATTCCGCTAACTGGAACCTGAGCGGCCTGGGGAGGACATCTTTCCAGCCACCTGTCGACTCTGAAAGGGCACAAGTCATAGATGAGGGCTTTCGAAGAAAGGCTCTATTGACGGACCGGCAAAACACAATGACTTCGAAAGCCTGCGAATCGGGAAACCCATTTTTGCCTTCCACCGTCTTGCAAAATATCTAAGCACGGAACATATGGGTGACCCTGAGCTTCACTGCGTTAGCCATTATCACCGGGAATAGCTCCAGACGAGGTCCAATGTCCCAGCTCTGCCTCTCGGTGGAAGGCAGTAAAAAGGGTAATTGAGCACCTGTAGGAAATTATAACACTCTTAATAAGCATGTCTCCCTTTGGTCCTCTAAACATGCTATTCTATTCATCATCAAAATGGAAATAATTCCGGTAAATGGAGCTTGTACTTTATTCTGAGAAAGAAAAACAGAACATGTCAGTTTCTCAACTGTCTTTGAAGTTTTCTGCTGCCCAAACAATTAATCACTGGGAAACAGATGTGCTGAACAGTCCGACTGGCTCAGAAAATAACTTTGGTGACCATAAAAGACATTCAACTGATCATAATGACTTTCTCCTCATTTTGGCTAATTTTTCTTATGTCTAACTTGAGTAGAGGTATTTCATATTTAATGATTCAAGACCGGAAAAACGAAAGCTGGAGGAAAAGTTCAGGAACCTTAACATCTAGCGGATGTTGTAGAAATCAGACTCTGTAAGAAAATCAGAGTTAAACGCAGATTGTTTTTTAAAAATCCATGGCCAATTGAGAAGGAATGCTTTTCTCCCAAAGAATGGGTATTTTTATCCTACCCAAAAGCTAAAGCTCAAGTGACTGAAACTCTCTACTGAAACACCAAATTATCCAGATTTTTACCTTTCCCTATGCTCTGTGCGCTTAATTACTTGCTGGTGTTTAGAGACCATGCACATACTTCCTAAAACAAAGAGATCGTAAGTATAGTCCTAACAACAAGACTTGCGTATCGCTACTCTTAATTCAGAGAGAACAATGCGTTTTAACACGGAGAAAGCAACACCCTCTGCGATCCTTGCCCACCCCACTCTGCTGCCATGAAGAAGCTGGCCTTTGCTCTTTCTCAAGGACCTAATGCAGTTCCTGGGACACCACAGTAGATTGTGATTGGGATAAATCTACCAGGGGACAAAAGAGGAACACCGCCAGGGAACAGTTACTAGAGGAGATCTGTTCCACTCTGAAGGTTCCGCATCTGGGTGCCCTTTTGATCTGAGGAAAGCCCGAGAGAGAGGAGCGCGAGCTCCCGAGCTCCCAAGGCCTCGACGTCCCTCTCCCTTCCCTGAACACCACCACAGAGGGCGGGAACATAAAGTGGCCCGTGATCAAAATCTGCAATCTTAACAACACGTCCTGTACTTCACGCACAAGCCGAGCGGCAGAGATGGGCTGGACTGAGGGCAATCGTGACTCAGAGCTCAGTGGCTAATCCCGAGAACCAGAGCTCGCCGCAGGCTGCCCGCTGTCCGGTCCACTCTGCAGCGCGGCACACACAAGCTACAGCTGTGCTCCCCTTCCCGTCCACCTGAGCGGGCCCAGTGTTCTAATCGCCGGTGAGCTGTGAGTGACACAGCGCTCACTGCCCTTACTGAACTGCAGTCCTACCTATGCTGGCTGAGCTGACTTCTATTGTGGGCAGTAAGAACCTGGTACCGGGAGGCGAAGATGGGCACAGACTCACACACATTACAGGGTAATCTGGGCACGGTCCTGGGAGGGGGCAGTGTGCGTCCTATAGGGTTCATGGGTAGAATTCTGCAAGTCCCTGCTGTGGAGGCACGAAAGAAACCTCACTTTTGGCACAAGAAATACAACGTTCAGGGCTGAAGTGATAGTCTGGCGGGGAGGATGTTTGCCATGCACACAGCTGATCTGGGTTTGATTCCCAGCATCCCATATGGTCCCCCGAGCACCACCAGGAGTCATTCCTGAGAGTAGACCCAGGAGGAACCCCTGTGCATCTCCGGGTGTGACCCTCCCACTCCGCCCCCCCCCAAAAAAGAAATACACTGTTTAGATCAGTGCTTTCCAGGCGCTCCGTCTGAGGTGTGGAGCACAAGTGTGAAAACACGGCTCGTGCTAACACCAGGGACTGCGAGAATCAGGAACTAGAGGAGGCAGGAAGAACTCAAGTCCTCAGAGCAGGGAGATCTGCTGCCACTCGAAGGAATCAAGACATCATCTAATAAGTTCCTCCCCCATCAAAGATGACGTCTACAACCTGCAGTCAAGAGCACCGACTGTTACAGGGGCCACAGAGACAGGGCTGCGGGGAAGGCGTTTGCCTTGTATGAGCAGACCCGCCTTCGCCCCCCAGCACTGCCAGGAGTAACTCCCGAGCACAGACTGAGCTCCACTGGGTGTGCCCCCAAAACAAAACAACAGTGTACCAGAGGTACCCGCGGACTCAGGGAGATACACAGCCGACTCCCTGTATAACGGCAGGGCACGTCCAAAGTCAAGAGTGTTTACTTCTGCCATTCATTTGTTAGATTGGGTCAAATAAAACTACAGATATCAGGCAGACATTACAAAGTATTTTTTTCAATTTAACTCTTTATCTAAGAAACAGTTTCACACACTTTAACCTGAGACTTCTCGATTGTGAAAAGGTCCAGTAATGCCTACTTCTTCCTATCTTCTTATTTGTCGTTAATTTTTTAAAAAAGATTATTTTTAAACCATTTGTTTGTCTAGCATCTTTAAAGACCTGCCTTTTTAAAACACTACTAATAACATCTTAAGGTTTTTATACTGAGCCAATGGAGACGTCCGGGACATGGGCTCGGACAGACAGTCGCGGGGAAGGATGACTCAGATCCGAGAGGCTGGGAGCCAGAAGGACCAACTGGTCTGACTCACGCTCAGCCCCAGCTTGCAGCTTGTTTGTGGAAGACTCCTCCTGTCAAATGGGAGGACACCGAATTCTTAAAGTCGTTACAGAAAGCATGTGACTTCTGGGGTAATGATCCTGGCACTCAGATACCTGTGTATCTGATACCTGTCTGGGGGATTTTTTTTTTAATGCTTATACAGACACCATCTTTCATAGGGTATTCCAGATATTCCTCGCCAAATGCACACTGACTCATCCATAAAGGAAGAGCTTGCTTAGCCCTCAGCCTCTCTGCCTGCTCAGCTGCTCTTCTGACTTTACTCCTCCCGAGTTCTTTCCTCATCTCTGAACCTGATGCTTTTATCGAACCTTCCAGACCACAGCACTTAGCAGAGCCGAACAGCAGATGGAATGAGAGAAAAAGAGACCAATCTGGGGATAAGGGAAATGTGCCCTGGAGAAGAGAATCAAAAAGGAATCGATGCGGTAGAAGTGGCCAGAAGCTGTTAATTACTCGCCCAATCATTCTTAATACAAGTGCAAGGCTAGAAGAAATACACGTGGAAAACGAGAGGAAAGAGGTTTGCTTCCTATTTCTTCCTTAATATTTATTTCCATCACCAAAGTCAACTGAGAGGGTCAAATAATAAACTCTTCGATTTTATTAGCTCTGAAAGAGCGACTAACCCGGGGCCAGCCCGCGGGGCCTGTACCTGAACGGAACGTCTTCCTGTGGAACATCGACGTAGTAACGGATGAAGAATCTCTCGGAATCTTCCCGCTCGCCATCACTCACAACACTGCCGTTGAGTTTGGAAACAGAGGGCAACCTGCAAGCAAGAAGCAAAATAAAGTCCCATCACGACACAACGGATTCTTGTCATCAGAGACAGAGGCTACGCATGGGCTGGGTCTAGGCTGGGCAGGAGAGATGCCCTGGGCTTCACCTCCAGCCCGCCGAGAAAAATGAATGGTAAAGAAATGAAATGGCAGTCTCTGGAAAGGACACATCGAACGTGGCTCTGCAGGTCCCCACCAGATGACTCAGCTCAAGTGTTGTAAAAAGAAAGGACCGCAGACACTGGCCCTCTCCACTCCAGGTGTGGCAGATCTATGGCACATCCACCTTGTAAAAGATTCGGGCGGCACAGTCCACCCGAATGAAGAAGATGCGAGTCACACGTGTAATTTAAAATTCTCAAGGGGCCGTATTTTAAGGAACAAAACTGAAACAGGTGACATGAGTTGTAATAATATGCTATCTCACCTCGTTATATTCAGGATTTAGTTGTTTCAGCTGAAAAATAACCAAAACTATACTTGGCACTCCCCGCCCCCGCCCAATCCTTGGTATATTTACCGCACAATTCAATTCAGATCAACCTCACTTTACGTGCTCAAGAAGTTACATATGGTTGATGGTATCAGACCAGACAACAGATATAAGTTTTATTCTTTTTTTTTTTATTTTGGCGGTGGGGGGTGGGGTAGAGGCACCCCTAGCAGTGCCCAGGGGTTACTCTTGGCTCTGCACTCAGGGATCACTCCTTGTCGGGGGGACCACATGGGATCAGGGAGCAGGCTGGCCCGTCCATGTCAAGTGCCCTTGTGCTATATTAGCTCTCCAGCCCAGGGTCACAAAGGCTGTGGAGAATCTGGTTCAATAGTTCAGTAACTGATTAAAAGAAAAAAAAAAGCACAAGGCCTATCGTAAGACTTAATCTTAGAAATAAATACACTGAATTCCATTTCTTAATTTCAATATTAATTTGCATGTGAACACCCCGGGAAACAGTAAATGATCTACTGGGTGTTAGGTGGTCAGAAATATCAAAATTGTGTTATCTGGGGGCAGGAGGCAGTGGGGCTGGCCACACCGAGTGGTGCTCAGGAGAGACCCCGCAGTACTTGGAGGACCGTATCAGAATCAGGACTGGTGGGAGTCAAGTGCCTTAACCCCTGGACCACCTCCCAGGGGCTCCACATCTTGTTTAAAGAACTGCCCTTCTTGGGCAGAGAGACGGCCCAGTGGGCTGAGCGCGCCACGACAAATTCAATCCTCCAGCGAAGCCTGGTCCCCCAACCACTGCCAGGGTGACCCCTAAGCAGAGAGAAAGGGGTGGTCCCTGAGCCACCTCCAGGTGTGAGGCCCAAACCCAACAGAACCCCTCTTCTTTGTTGCCCCTTCCACACTGCTGGTTCCCAAACGGGTATGGAGTCCAGAGAGAGCAAAAGCACAGCTCGGTGCTGTCCCTGCACTCCTCAGCCACAGGCAGTGGCGCTCACAGCACACACAAAGGGAGACCCTCTGGGGGGCTCAGTCACCTGTGCAGGCAGGTCTGAGACACCGGAGCAGGACTGGGAGGAAGGAGAGCAGCTAGTCATATTTAAGCCAATCCACAGTCAAGAAGGCAAAGACTCTGCACTCAAGTTCTAAACTAACGAGTCCAATTTCCAGATATTTACAGCTTACAGGACCACATTAGTTAAGAAAACTGACTAAGAACAATTCCCTTAGGCCCCTAACTTTCTTTTCATCAGCCCCAAATAGGACTTTAACCACTATTCAGTATTAAAAAGCAAAAACAGAAGAGATCTACGAGGCAGGTTTTCAGGGGGCCTGGCAGGCTGAGCAGTCTGTTGAAAGAGAAAACCTGCCTGTCCCTGTCCCCGGCCCCCTCAGTGAAGTCCCAAGAAAAGAGGCAGAACAATCGAGGTGACAGACCTGGCGATCACCAACTTCCGCCGCTCCTCAGTGGAATATGGCTGCAGAAGTGGGATTCCTAACAATCGCACTTCTTCAAGCTTGGGGAATGAATTTAGCTTGTCAATGTCTTCCCAGGATTGCAAACCTGATGGGAGAAACACACCGTTTAAGGAAATCCAGGAACGCCTACAGATGAGCAAAGTGCTACTTCCCTTAGTCCTTTCTAAAACGTTAAGTGATCATGAACTAGTTAGAAAGCCCGAAATGCTTATCAAAGAACTGAAGACAGCTGAACAGCATCGCACCCTTGGTGCTCGCTCCCGCTCCTGCTCCTGCTCCTGCTCCCATGGCCCGAGAGCCCTTTACCCTCTGGCACCCACGCACCTGCTCCACCCACTGGGCTCGCAAGGGGGCTCACGTGATCAGTTCATAGTCTCACTAAGCTCAACGTACGCCATGATTACAGAGCCATAACAAAAAGACGGGATCAACTCCTCTACCTACCGCAGGCCAATTAAACATAACCATTGAAGAGTTAGCGATGACACGTACTAAAATTCTTCATAGCGAATTTTAAAGATTTTGGAGGAAGACTACTAGAACCAGGGACCAGCCACACTTTTGAAATAGGGAGAACAGATTTTAAAGTTAAAACAGACAGCCAAACCCTTATGTCAGAAGAGGCAAAAATAATATTCTGAAGTTTTATTACTTAGTTTTAAAATTCTTTCTATGACTAAGCAAACTGTCCAAATCGATACTTGGCACTCTCAAGAAGATATTCTTTTATGATAAAGTTACTCTATTTTACCACACATTAAATCCATTCCGGAAAACAATGTGCCCCTTGCACGAGTTCATCTAAATGGATCAAGTTTAAGGTGATTATGCGAAATGAACTACGGAAGTAGTGAAAGACCATCAACAAATTGTTTCACTCATATGTGAAAAACAATTAAAGCCCAAAACTTGGCGGAAAAAAATAGGACTTTTAGGCTGGGTACAAACTATAGTGATTATCAGAGGGCCAGAGGAAGTGGTGGAGGCACTGGAGCGGCTAAGGATGGGGAGCGGGGGAGTCTGACAGTCAGAGGGGGGAGGCTCTCTCGATGTTCCACAGTATGGTAAACCGACCATCCATCAGGGGAAAAACAAGGATGAATACGCTCTAAAAATAAACCTCTTTCATTTTTTGAAGACAGTCATCCCTGTGACACAGAATCAGATGGCCACGGCCTAGCAACCAATTAGATACAAGTGGCTGAAAATGCGAGCGGGCATCTCCAAGGCACACGTGCCGTCTCTCTCGTAACCGAGGTCCGGACGAAATGGTCTAGTCTAAAACCCTCTGGCCTGTTTTCACTGTGTGAGCTGTCAATGCCGTCTATTCCTTTCACGCATGACCCCCTTAACATACGAATGTGCCACTTAATCTTCAGCAACCCAGGACCTGAGGGCTGTGACTGCAGCGCGGCCTCACCTGACTTGTGCAGGCTGATGGAGCGCAGGTTGGGGAAGAGCCTGGCCAGCGAGTCGTCAGGCTCCTCGATGGCGCTCACGTGGTTGTTGGCCAGAACCAGGGTGTCAAGGGAAGGGAACATAGCGCCCAGCTTCCGGATCTCAGTCCAGTCTTGGAGGTTGTTGTCTGTTATGTGGAGCAGCTTAAGAGAGTGACAGCAAATAGAAGGACAAGACACTGTTTCGTAGTCATTAAGGCACAGGAAGAGCTCCTCCAAACTGCAGAGGAAGAGGAAATGTTTTATTATTGAAAGCGGCTGGATCCCTGACTCGCGCCTCTTCATTCAGTGAAGTGCCTTCTAAGGTGTAAGACTACTTAGTGGTGTGGAAAAAAACGCAAAGATGCCTTTCTAAAGCTGACAGTAGCTAGAAGACAAAACCTAGCACATGCATAATGGCAGAGGACGAATTATGTGCTTAAATAATTACGTGCTAACTCAGTGGGACTATGAATACAATGGCACATCACACAGGCGCAGAGGCAAAGGCTATAATAAGAAGAATCAAAAGAATGCCTGGCCGTGGAGGAAGAGGACAGAGGAGTCATTTCCGGAAACTGCATTAACAAATAGTTTTGAAGTAGAACTGACCATCACCATCTCCTAAATATCTACTTGGGTCAGGCTCCATGTCAAGTGCGCCAAGGACTCTCCTACTTTTACAGGACTGATACAATAACCTAACTTACAGAGCAGGACACAGCTTAGAGAGGTCAGCTTATCAAGCCATCTGGTTGGTAAGTAGAAGTGGGATCTAAAAGCTCCTTTTAGTCCATGCTAGAGGTTGCGAGCAGCACGGAAACCAATCTCATTAGGATGAATGAGATACTCAGATGGAAAAACAAGGTGAGACCAGATTCTCCAAGGTCTTGTTACTTTCCTTATTAAAATGATTTAAAAAAAATACGCTTTCATATATTTCTTGAAATTGCTTTCTTTTGACCACTTACATGCAAATACAGAGATGGGGTGAGGGGCAGGGAACTGTTAACGATGCATTTCTAAAGTGACAAAGGAAAGTGTAAATTCTTGCTTGAATCATGGAAAAAGAATACAGGTCCATTTCCTCCTCAGGCCAAGTAGGTGTTCAGTAATCTCGGTGTTAACATACTTTAGAGATACTCAGATTTTTTTTTTTCTCCTGAAGAAAAGAACTCAGGCAAAAGCTCAAATCAGGTAATCAGAAGATTGAGATGGAGAAGGGTGTGGTTGATCACGAATGACCAGAGCTTCTCAGGGGTATCTTCTAGCCTGAGGAGGACCTATCCCATGTCTCGGGGTACTCAACACTCCACACATTCTCCAGTGAAAACGCTGCTGGTGTACCCTCACGCCCGCGTTGCAAGTACTGCGTTTCTCTGACCCCGCTCTCCATCCAACCTGCAGTTCTAGGGTTCCCATGACGGGAGGTGAGCAGTGACTGGCTAGCCCCCTCTCCACCATGCTCGCGGGGCTTACTCTGGTAACTCCTGCAGTATCGTGTGGACTGTCTCCCAAGAAGCTTTGCTGTTGTTGAGAACAAGTTTGCGAACCCCAGAGAAGGACCCGGCACATGTTCTTTCTAAAACCGACAAATTCAGAGGGTTGGAACTCAGGTTTAGAAACTCCAACTGGGGAACATTTGACACAATTTTACTGACCTAGGGAAGAAAAAGAGAAAAGTACATGAGGCAGTAATCAGAGCTTTTAAATTACAATCACGCTTGAGGGTTCCTGGGTCTCCACAGGACCATCACACGCTGAAGGGTGGCACCCACAGAGCGTGGGGAAGTCGAATTTGTCATTTCACCCAATCTTGGCAAATAATTTAACTTTTTCCTATGAAATAGTAACGCCACAGAAACGTAATGGTACAAAGGAAAGATTTCCTTCTTTAGTGTAGTTTTTGATTCTGCTTCGATATCCTCTTTGCTAAATGGAGAAAAGATCATTTAAATGACTTTTTAGGTTGCAAGTTTCTAAAGAGCTGAGATTGGATCGCGCAATTCTCGTTTGAGTATCTCTTTTCTCACATTCTCAGCACATTAAGGCTAATTTAAGTTTATTGAAGACCACCTGGTAGCAATCCAGGTGTTCAAAATCGACTACATAATCATAATCACTCAGCAAATAATTTCAGCTTGGCTCCAGACTTATTAAACTTTAAGATATATTTACTCAAAAACAAAGGCAGCCATTCTATCTCACAAAAGAGAAAACATGACCATAAACTTGCTCACTGAGCTGGTACCTTGGCAGACAAAGCGGGGGAAGGCAGGCAGGCATCGAGCTCCCTGCCTTGAACTATTGGCTCTTCTTTTTGACAAGGCCTATTTCACTAAATTTGAAAGAAGCTTGGAAGGTAACTAAATAGCATCTTAATTTTAATAAATGAGGAAGCTATAGCACAGAAGCATTAACTAATTTTACCATGGTTTCATAGTCACAAAAATAAAATATGAGATTAAAAAAAATCAGAGCCATTGTTCGTTCCAATTTGTCACAACCAATAAAATCATAAAAAAAAAAGGAAAAAGAAAGAAAAGAAATTGCTTAAAACTGGAATGAAATCAGTGCAAGGGGCTCAGTAAGTGATTTGAGTCTCATCTGCAACAGCAAAACTGAGGCAATACGGAATCTAAGAAAAGGCGTAGAACAAAATAGAATCAGCTTTAGAATGGGAAAAGTCAGGATTCCAATAGGCTCCAACACTTCCTAGCTCTGTGGGTCCAAATCAGTGATTTATCTTTTCCCAACCAGGGCTGAGTGACAGCATGGAGGGGAGGGAGCTTGCCTTGCACATGACCGACCTAAGTTCCATGTCCAGCATCCCACAGGGTCCTCTGAGTCCACCAGGAACGATCCCCAAGCACAGAGTAAGGAGTCAAAACGGGGTGTGTGTGGGGGGATAGTAGCCACTTACCATGTAGCATTATTGGTAGGATTAAATGAGGAGGACATGTGAGGCACTTAGCTAGTGATGGGTCTACCTTTTAGAAATTCCTCATCAACATGGTGCCCGCCATGGCCATGCCAACGGACTCTGCGCCAGGCTGTTTCACTTGGGGCACCCCAGAGAGGGGTGGGTGAGAGCCCTCCCTGCCCCAATAGACCCAGTCCCAGCAGCCGAAAAACTCCAGAACCCAGCCACCACCATGCTCAAGGCTGCTCCCCACACACCCGGGCTGAGCCTAAAGCACGAGTGAACGTATTCCTGGACACATCATAAGACACTCCCAACCCATTCTCCATAAGTACCACACCACATCTGATGGGGTTCAAGTAGTAGGCAACAAATTACAGAGGCAAAAATATATATGTGTATGCATATATATGGGCTGGAGCGATAGCACAGCGGTAGGGCGTTTGCCTTGCATGCAGCCAACATGGCCAACCCGAGTTCGATTCCTCCACCCCTCTCAGAGAGCCCGGCAAGCTACCGAGAGTATCTCGCCCACACGGCAGAGCCTGGCAAGCTCCCTGTGACATATTCGATATGCCAAACACAGTAACAACAAAATCTCCAATGGAGACGTTACTGGGCCCGCTCGAGCAAATCCATGAACAACGGGAAGACAGTGACAGTGATATATATATATGCATATATATACACATACACACATAGCTTTAGATTTATATATGAAAGCTCACATCACTCAACCTTTAACATGTTAGTGATATTCTTAAGAATGTCTTAATGGCCCCTGCCAAAACAGAACAATCTTCACGCTGTCTCCTCTATACTTTTTTGTAGCATTTGCAGCGGTTTTCCATAACAGACAACACAAAATATATCATTTCGGTTGTGCTTTGGGACAGGGATTGGGTATTGGGATGGAAACATCCCCAACTTGGTGGTGGGAAGGTGTAATGGTGGTGGGATTGTTGTTTGAATATTAACTGTAATCAAATATTGAACTACCTTATAAAATAAAAAAAAAGAAATTCCTCATCAATTATTAACCAGTAGAGTATAAACTCTATGAAAGCAGGGAGAAAACTTACATAGTTTATCACTGCATAGTGAGCACCTCATAATTATTAAATGGCAAAAAAAAATGAATGAATATAATGACTACTGATATGATAGATATAATACACACTACTATCTCAACCTTGGCTACTCAGAATTGTCAAGATTCACTGTAGAATTTTAAAAAATATGCTGACTCCCAGAATCTACCTAAACTACTGAATCAAAATCTCTTGGGGGGAGCAAATTTTGTGATTGCGACTTAGGACAGCGGTTTCTTTTCAGAACTCCAAAACAACGCCAAGAGAGCAGGGCTGAGGTGTGTGGGCAGGACAGAGATATATTGGGACCGAGAGTTCAGGGGCTCCAAGATGAACGAGAAGCAGAGTGATTTCCAGAAGGGTCAGAGAGGACACTGGAGGGAAAGGTGCTGATGGCCATGCCTCCCTCAGTTCTACATACCCACTCTCCCTCTTACTACACGTGAAGGTGAGGATGCTATCTCTTACAGCAAACACCGAGCTCTTCACGTATTTTCCTGCTTGATCCCTTTTGCGATGGAGTCGTAGCACGCTTTTTTTTTTTTCAATTCTCTGGCTAGGTTTTGGAGTTCCGTGTGGGGCCGCAGCACAGCTAACAGCATAGAAGGCCCAACCCCCTATTCTATCACCTGGAGACTAAAGATGAAGGTCTTCCACAAAAAAAAAAAAAAAAAAAAAGATAACCAGCTAGACTGACCGTTTTTCAAGGGCAAGAAAGGACATAAAGAATTTGCGGTCTGACTAGCTCATCCAGAATCTGCTAGTTGTACAAATGAAATCAGTAAGAACAAAATCCTAAGCACCACCCCTTTAGTGAAGAGAAAAATACTGAAAAAATGTCTAATTTAAGGGTTTTCAAAATTTGTCTCGGAGAGAACCTCCAAGACAAATAGGTATGTGCTGTTATCTTCATAGTCTGCACGACTGCCACTGTCCTCTGAGAGCGCAGAGTGGGAAACCTCATTCACTGGAATCAACCACAAAGATAAGAGGGGACTATACAGCCTCTCAACTCATGCACAAAAAAGAATATATAATCTAAGTATTTTCTGTCAAGGGCTGAAATCAGAAGGGGTTGACTGCTGGTCAGGTTCAAATTAATGGTGGAATTCTAGATAAAGGGGCCAGAGAGCTCAAGGTGGCTGTGTGCAGGGCGCCCAAGGCACATGTGTGTGTCTGTGTGTGTGTGTGTGTGTGTGCGCGCGCGCGCGCGCACGTGCGTGCAGGGGGTCCAGAGCGCATTCTGGGTCTGCAGAGGTCCAGGCTTGAGGCCCAGCCCTTGAGCACTGCAGGTGTGGCTCCAACCCTTCCACCAAAAAAACCCAAAGAGCAGAAAAGATGATATTCCGTTTACAAGGAACATTTACTGTAACAGAAAAATGTCCTAGTGGCTCACGCTGACATTCTGTGAGCCTCAGGGCAGTGACCGACTCCCCCTCCCCCCTTTTTTTAATTACAAATATAATTTTATTTATTTATTTTTTGTTACTGTGTCTGGCATATCGAATACTCTCGGTAGCTTGCCGGGCTCTCCGAGAGGGGCGGAGGAATCGAACTCGGGTCGGCCATGTTGGCCGCTTGTAAGGCGAACGCCCTGCCCGCTGATTTATTTTTTAATTTTTATTAGTGAAACACCATGAGGTACAGTTGTAGACGTACAAATTTTTGTGCCTGGGTTTCAGTTATACAATGATCGAGTACCCATCCCCCCTTTTAACGCTGGAAAGGGAAGCTCTTGGGCAGCAACGGGCTCCGGTGGGGGTGTGAGGTCCGAGGGGACCACCCACACCCAACAATCTAACACCATAGCTCAGCGACTCCATGGGAGACCCCACTCTGGCTTCTAAGCAGTGGACTCTTAAGAAAACGGGAAAGGGTGTAAAGATAACAATCTGTAACCTACACCCAAGCCATTCTCTACTTTACCCGAGCTCTTCATTCTCCCCACCCCTCAAGTACTTGCTTTAATTTCTTTTGTAAGAGGTTTTGATAAGGGAGGGAAGGGAAAAAAGGAGACAGCCTGGGAAAGGAAAAACAAAATATCAACTGAGCAAAACTTCAAATCAAAAACAAACTAAAAAAAAAAACCCTCACATCTCTTAAAATAAAAAATAGACTCAATTTAGAAGGACAAAGACAAATCTTTGCCTCCTCCCAAACAAAAGCAGGGTCCTCTCCCCTGATTGATCTCCATCTGCAGATAGCAGACAGTGCTTGAAACTACAGAACGTTACTCAGAACTTTTTCAAAGTACGAAAAAAAACTATATTTAGTACTTATTAGAAAAACACTATTAATATCAAGTAAAATAAAATTAGTTACAGCCAGGAGCAAATGACCGTCTTGACAATCTGCTCTTTGGGTTGTGATGGGACTGAAACGTAACGTCTTGAAACCATGACCAGTGGGATTTGTAGTCTGGTAGTTTTACTCTATAAGTTAGTTATCTGTTACTATTTTTCCCATCTCTCTGTGTTTTGCTCTATACTCCAGAAGACTGGGATCATCTACAGTTAAGGAGAAGGACAAATATGAGGGAATGATTAAAGCAAAAATAAATTTAAAAATAATGGGAGCTGGAGTGATAGCACAGTGGGTAGGGTGTTTGCCTTGACCATGGCCGACCCAGGTTCGATTCCCAGCATCCCATATGGTCCCCTGAGCACTGACAGGAGTAATTCCTGAGTGCAGAGCCAGGAGTAAGCCCTGTGCATTGCCATGTGTGACCCAAGAAGGAAAAAAAAACCCAAAAGAGGGCAGAAATTATTGTTTGAACACTGCTTGAAAACAGGGTATAAAGCACACTCAGGAAAATACAAACAGTATAAATATACACGACACTCTGGTTACACACAAGTTAAGAAAGCCTGGGAAATAATTAGGGTAGACCTTTGTCTAAACATAGAAAAGGCAGGATTAACTAGTGCAAACTGTGTTCTAATCTATACTTACATAAACCATTCTTCTAAGGTGGCAAGTACCTTACTACTAAATAGGTCCCAGTTAGCAAAGTATGAACAAAAACTAAAACCAGAGGAAAGAAGTTAGAGAAATCAGCCTGAATGTAAATGCCAAAGTGGCTCAGAGGAAGGCTTGGTGTGACCTGTGACCTGGGAGAGTCCAGGAGCTAGGTCCACACCCTGTAATCAGCACCACAACTGCAGGCCCCTGCAGTGAACCCTTGGCTCAGCTGGCTGAGATTCTGGAAGTGGCTTCAAGACCCCCCCTGAGCACTGTTTGGGAGATGGGAAAAAACTCAAACAGCTCATCAAAGAGTCCGCAGGAACTCAACGGCTGGGATCTTAGGGAAGGGGCTTTGCAGAGAAGGTCTTTTTTGCAAGTGTGCAGTGTGGATAGAGCACACATGTCAGATAAAACCACACAGAGCCACAAAGGAAGAGACTAGGGATTAGGGGCCACAGAGATAGTACAGTGGGTAAGGTGCTTGCCTTGTGTGCGGCCAACCTGCGTTTGATCCCTGGCACCCCACATGGTTTCCCAAGACCACCAGAAGAGAATGACTTCCTGAGCGCAGAGCCAAGAGTAACCCCTAAGCATCTCTGGGTAGGGCCTCAAAATAAAATGAACAAACAAAAAAGAAGAAACAGATTAATTTGTTCAATAGTGAATTATATCAGTTGCTTCAATAAAGTCAGTAAACAAATGCATGCATGCACAATAGACTGCTTTTTAAAATCTAGTATATTTGTACATATTAAGAAATCACTTAGAAATCAAGATACATATATCTCAAAGGAAATACCTTAGTCACAAAGGAAAGTATAACTGAGAACACAGTTATCCCAGTAAGACTATGAAATTGCTCAGTATGCAAGACTTTAAAAAAAAAGTCTTAAGTTTTCTTAGAGAAGTAGCTTAAAATTTGTACGGTATTTAATATTGGAAAAGTGCCTCAATGATTAATTTTGTCATCATCTCTGTCTTATGGATGAGAAGTCTGAAAACACAGAAGGATCAAAGGAGTTTCTTTAGACCCCAGGAATAGCTGAAGCAAGTAGTCCTGATCAATCCTTAAGACACCACCATTTCTTTATAAATGCCACAAACATCTGAGTGCTGAGTGCACGTAGCAATGGCAAAACAGACAAGACCGGGACCGGAGAGAGTACCACAAGCAAAGTGCTGGTGTCGTATGTAGCCAACTGGGTTTTGATCCCCAGCACTGCACATGGGTTCCCAAGCTCTGCCAGGAGTGAGCCCTGAGATGGGCATCAGCTCCTAGTAGAAAAGCTTTTGAGTAAGCAAGAAATGGCACTGAGTGACAATAAACCCCCTCACATGGCAGGACACAGGTGCTGAGGGAAGTGAAGCTGGCGGCGAGGCAGTCAGGGGAAGCTGCTCAGGGAACAGCAGCCTGGACCACGTGCTAGCTACAGAGGAAGGGGCTGGGAACACCACGGGCAGAAAAAGAGCAATAACTTAGAGTGAAATCAAGAAAGACTTTCCGGTCAAGAGTTTATCCTGTGCTGCAATGAAAGGCTGGAGGCAGAGGCCAAGCTCAGGAAGGGCAAAGCACCTGGTGAGGGCCATGCTGAGCTCAGACCTCACTCAGCTACAATGGAAGGCAACCGAAGGACTTCAAGCATGTCCTGCTCATGTTTTATTGATTCAAAGGAGTCTGGGAGCACTGCAGAAGATAGCTTAGAGGAAGAGGAATAAAAACAGAACCAAAGCAGAGACAGGAAAACTCATTAAGATTTGTCAATAGTCCAAGGAATAAATAAGAGCCCTAATTTCAGACAAGAGAATGATCACATAGCAAGAGCTATTCTTTCTTAGTGACTCATCTTTGACATTGGGGGCCACACCAGAGAGTGCTCAGGAGCCACCCCTGGTGGTGGTCGGGGGCCTCTATGTGATGCCTGGGATCGAACTGGTGCTGGCTGTGATTCAGAAGCTGCATGTGCGCAGGCCACACGCCTCCACCCTTGGGCTATCTCTTCAGCTCCTGTTTGTTCCTTTTTTTCTTTTTAAATTAAAACTATTTTGGGTTTTGGGCCACACCTAGCTGTGTTTAGGGCTTTTCTGCTGGCCCTGTGCTGGGGGACCACCCTTGGCAGGCTTGGGAGAACGCGTGGGATGCCAGGGATCAAACTCGTGCAAGGCGAGCGCCCGAACTGCTGTACAATCTCTCCGGCCATATTTTCCTTTCTCTTTAAAGGCAGTAAGGTAATGTTATACACAGACAGCATGTGATATAAAAATAAGAGAGGATACTGTAATGCTTTTTATTGGTATACCTGGTTTATAGTTACTCCGAGGTGGTGAAATTATTATCAGTCATGTCAAACCACTAACAAGACTTAATAGTATAAAAAGATCCAACATATTGAGAATATGTTTCAGTAACGAGCGTATTTTTATCATTTTAGCCTCCAGCTCAAACAATTTGAAATTGCCCTGCGATACACAGTAGCCGGAGCGGATGAGCAGAGCGGGTGTGGACACAGGCCTAGCCCGACCTCTGCAGAGCCACTGGCCTCCTGGTCAGCAAGGCCTTCACATGCACAGAAAACAAACGAGCAAAAACGATGCTCCCTGAAAACTCGCCCGAGAGCCAGCTGAAGCAGTCCACCCCTCGTCTCGGGCCATGCCCACGGCACGATCGCTTACAATGCTGAAGGCAGTGGGACCTTTCCCCGTCGGGGCCATCCGGGCACGGTGGGAGAGAACCGTACCTCCTGCCAGTCTTCCAGTTTGTTGTCAGAGAGATCGAGCTCTGACACGTGCGCGCAGAAGGCGGCGATTTCTTTCTCGTCCCCGGCACAGGTTATTCCGCAGCTGTTCAATACCAGCACGCTTGGGAGGTTGAGGCGATCTGCAGGGCGGGAGAGGAGACACGCTCAACGTCAGTTTCATTCTGTCTGGAGACAGGCAGCCCTGGGAACCAAGACAATCACTGCAGGGATTCGGACGGGGCTTGGGTGGGGCCCACGGGCACTGCATCTGAAGAGGAGATGGCCAAACACAAGCCAGACTGGGGCGGGGGGCGGGGGGCTGGGGGGTGGAGGTCTGTGCAGCCAGTCTTGCTGGCTTCCCTCTCTCTGCACGACGGCTCAGCCCCATCACCAACAGCAGCTGCTGTGGCCGAGGCCACACTCCACACACCACTGGCTGCTTCCTGGCCCACATTCTTCCTTTCTTTTCAGTTCAGAAGTATCATTCCAGACAGCTCTTTCTTTCTCTGTTTTATGTGTATTTTCACCTTTTCCTGCCTATGAAGACGATCTCAAACTAGAGAGGGATAATCTCTCTGCTGAATCACTACTGCTCTGCAAGTTCCTAGCATCCGAGCAGTCGGCCTCACTCACGTGAGTCCATTTAAAGATCTCCATCTGGAGGCCGGAGGGGGCACCAGGCCCGAGGCGCCTGCCTTGCATGCAGCTGAGCCCAGCCTGGTCCCGTGAGCACTGCTGGGAGAAGGCCCTAAGCGAGAGAGCCAGGGACGGCCTCTGAAGACCCCGCAGAGGGCACCCAACAAACAAAAGCCCAAATCTCTGTCTCTCTTGTACACATCATTTTCATGTCATGAGCATGTAAAATGTGTCCCTTAAAAAGATCAGATGTTAGGGGCTGGACCAATAGCACAGTGGGTAGGGTGTTTGCCTTGCACGCGGCCGATCCGGGTTCGATTCCCGGCATCCCATATGGTCCCGAGCACCGCCAGGGGTTAATTCCTGAGTGAAGAGCCAGGAGTAACCCCTATGCATTGCTGGGTGTGACCCGAACAGAAAAAAAATAAAAAGTAAAAAAAAAATCAAACCTTAGAAAAGATTTGTAATGGGAAAGTTTTTTTGATCACTACTACAAATCATAGTTTGCAATATTGTTACTGTTTATGGTTGCAATACTTTTACTGTTTGTGGTTGCAATACTGTTACTATTTATGGTATTGCTATACAGTTACTGTACTTCCCCACCACCCCAGTGCCCTGACCACCCACCTCTGCCACATGTCTGTTACTTTCCAGTCAGCCTCTTCGTTTTATGGGAAACCTTTCAGAGTCTTCAATTATTTGATGTATCTGGTCACACTAGGGTAGTCAAGTCACAGAATGATTCTGAAACACCTGTGTGGGGCCTGAACTGGACTGCAGCTCTGCTCCAGGGCACCCCCGCTCCCCCAAGACTCTGCCAGGAGTAATTAATTCCCCAGAGCACTGCCGGATGTGGAGCCCCGCCAAATACGTGTCACTAAAATCATTCTTACTAATAAAAACGATAAGCAGGAGAATCCCACAACTCGTTTTCTCTTTGTATAGAAACAAGGACACCCACAAGGAATATTTTATTAATGGAGGCCTCAGATTACATGGTTTTTCAATATAGTCCTTTTCAGTATTCAATTTCTCAGGAAGGGATCCTGAAAAAAAAATTACCAAATAATAAGTTGACTTCTTTCTGCTATTCCAGTTTATATGGAGTGACAAGACAGAACACTCAGTTATCTATGGACCCAAGCACTGAGATACTGTTCGATATTAATGCTTCCTGACTACAAAGAACTTCCAAGAACAGTTCACGGTTACACCAGGCTGTAGTGGAGGGAAATGCACCTTCCCAGCCAGAGCTCTTCACTCTCATCACTCCCTCTCCGAAAATGGCTCTAGAGTCTCTTGAATCAGCTTCTATATTCTTGAAGGTTGTTCAGTCCCACGGCTTTGGAGGCTTTTGATCACAGTAATTAACTGCTCCAAATTTCCTTCCCAATCACCGTGCCGTTCATTTGACTCAAGGAAAACTACCAGTGTCTATCTTTGTAAAAATGAAATGCTCTTGTATTCCAATTAGGATGTCAGGTCCCAGGGGTACAGAGCAGGCTTGTACTAGCTTGCCCCTCCACGTCCCTTGAAAGAACTTGCATTTGATAGGCAATTACTCAAGACTGTTATTACCCTCTGAATGCAACTAAAGTGTCTTCTTGCTAATTTGGAGGAAAGCTAGTCCTTTAAGTTAAAAAGAAAAAAAGAAAATCACAATCAAAACCAGTGCACTTTGACTCATCACTTAGATTAATTCCTTTGTAGACATGGCATTGTTCTGGTTTACTAGCCCAAGAAAGCACAAGGAAATAAGTATCTCAGGTGCCATTTTCCTTACCTTTCATTGGCGAGCCCTGAGGTGTGGCTGGGACATGGACTCCCATTCCAGGACCGCGGCGGTAAGGAAAGTTCTCAGGACTATATTTTTCACATAATACTTGCATAAAACTCCTTCCAGCAGGTCGATCCATCTTCTTCTCCTAAAATTTTACGAGAAACCGTCAAAAACACTGATCTATTCACATATGTATCATCAATTATTTATTAGGTACTCTGACGGCGTACTACAGACATCATCTGCACGAGGCATGGCCACTGCTGCCTGGAAATTACACTCTGTGGAGCCTGTATGACTTAAGAGAAGCCACACACGAAGGCAGAAGAGAACAATATTGCTCAGCACGTGAAGCCGTGACACGACTAAAATTCTACGTGTCTGCGAGGTGCCCACAGAACTTAGCTGTCTTACCACACAGGTGCCCAAGGACCTTAGCTGTCTGCCACACAGGTGCCCAAGGAACTTAGCTGTCTGCCATAATAGGTGCTGAAAGAGCATCTGTGATCATTTCAATGAAAGATAATTGGATTTTCAAAGTCACTCTCACTGCTCTTTTCAATCTTTCAGTTAGTTACAAACGGACCTATCCTATCAAATACAAAATGTATTTCTTTTGGTCTTGATTTTGGGCAAAGTGTCTTCTCTGTCATTTACTGCTGGGTAAACATAAGCTAGTTACTTTCTTGCCTATGCATGAGCTAGAATTTTCATCTCAGGTTCATAAAAAATAATGTGGAAAAAGGGAAGAGTAGAAAAGTGATCTCTAAACGTGGTCCTTTTCTTAAGTAACTGTCAGGACTCTGGTGCTTTATGGAGTTGGCAAAGGCCTGGGAAACAGAACGAATGCTTGCTGAGCACACAGGTGGAACAAGAGCTTTGTACATGCAGGTCACCAAGTCCAGGCTCTGGACGCCGTTTCACAGGGAGCACTTCACCTTAAACATTCGGGCCATCTCTCCCTAGGGGCAACCTGGCAGTCTGAGGCTAGAACCTGTGCATGGTGGTTTGCTCTGTCAGCACAGCACTGACTAGGTCCAACTGAACCGGGTGAGCCTTGAGTACCTCGGGAACCTTCCGGAGGAAAGACGCTTCCTCCCAGGAGGCTGATCACCAGCAACACTGCAGTGCAGGCGCTAAGTCACTCGTGACAGGCACCAGCTCTCATCAAAGACGTGTCTCAAGCAGAACGCCAACAGGATGTCTTGAAATGTTTAACACAAAAGTCAAAGAAGCTACACTGCTGTCTTCCAAACAATTTGCAGTTCAGAAGAATCAAAAGTGTGTGGGGAGGGTGCTGAAGTGTCAGTGTCAAAATAACAGTCACTGAGTTTAAACAGTACATTTGAGCTTCCACTTGCTCTAAAATTCAAAGGCAACGACACTCACACAATCTAAATAAGAACTGAGGTATGTCCACTTGCTTGTCTGATTAAAGGCAAGTCAAACCAAGTCCTAGCAGGTAAGCAAATATTAAGTTTTCCTTGTGCCTCAGGCTCTAACAATTCTTCCAAATACCCTGGGTTTCTCGTCTTTTCCTTCTTTCTTCCTCTGTTGTTTCTGGTTTTTCAGCCATACCCAACCGACTCGGGGCCCTGCACTCAGGGATCACTGCTGGCAGGCTCGGGAGACCTTCTGGGGGGTTGGATGGAAGCTGGGTCGGCTGCGCACAGGGCAAGTGCCTCACCGTCTCTACTCCAGTCCCTTTTCTCTGTTTTGTTTCTCCCAGGTTTTCCTCCCTAAGTATGTAAAAGCAACTCCTGGCATCTTCACTGTTCATTTTCTAGTCTCTGAAATAGCTTTCCAGGAATGCAGATAGTGTATATATTAATACGTGGGGATCAAATTATTCTAACACTGGGATTGCAAAACGGATCAGTAACACAAATCTACTCTTAGTCTGGTGGGACCATTACAGGAAGAATACCGGTTGGGAAAGAAAAAACAAAACCCAAACAGACAAAAAAAAGAAAAGAAAAGAAAAGAAAAGTAAGTAAATAGAGAAGAAGAAAGACCTTTTAAGGAACTGGATGGGTATAGAGGGGTCAAGTGAGACTTTCTGGAAAGACCAGGTGTCAGATGACAACTGACTACCCCTACTGTTGGCAGTGTTGTAAAGTGTCTGCAAAACCATCCCGAACTGGCGATGACAGCCAGGCAGTCAGGAATCTTGGGTTATGTTGCGTGGCTCCATTACCAAGTGCAAAACCTCAACGGTTTTGTGCCCCAGATCTTGACTCTAGTATGCTCCTGTAATACACCTGGAGAAAGTCACACAAGCTGGAGAGGAGGTGCTCAGACACTTCTGCCAAGGAGACTGGAGTCACAATGGCACAGCCAGTCAGTTACCCAGGTACCTTGAACTGCTGCGAAATGGTCTGTTCCATGATCCCCATCAGTGCGTGTGATGGAAAGCATGCGAAACTGAACACCACGGAAGATGGGACAGACACCATGTCTGGGAGGGATCCGAGATACCCTCATACTGAGTATGAGGGATCGATATTCACACCCTGATTCACAGGACCTGAATCCACCAGCCTCACATCTTCCAAGCCACACAAATATTATGCCATGGAGACCCAAAACGCACATGTTAACTCTCCAAAATACAGATTCACGCTCTATATGCACAGCTTACTTCCAGGGGATAAAACAGAAATCAGCACCTCTGACTGAGTCCAGAGAGAAAAAAATGAGGAACAGAATAGAAAACTTTGCTTTTGTACTGTTCACTCATTTAAATCATCTGAACTGACCAAATATAAGCATCATGTTTTTAAATACCGTATCTTTTACAAGTGTGAAATATTTTAAAGTGCTCTATCTTGGGGTGATCTATACGGACCCGCCAAGGTTTTAAAATTTTCCTCATCAGTTTTTTTTTTATGGCAAAACAAATCAGAGTACACAGACATGTATTAATAGTGATTCTTCAATGAACTGGGCAGTCAGAAAGAAAGGGGAAAAAAACCAGAAGGGGGCCAAGTGAAAAAAGATGATTTTGTAAAACAGCAATAGGGAAGAAAAAAGAAAGAATAAAACACATCTGAGGCTAGAACTAAATCGTAGTTAAAACAAGAGGTGGTCATACCACAATCTGAAAAAGAAAAGAGCGAGCCACACTGCCAAGCTGGGTTTCAGCCAGTGCTGGACAGAGCCAGGAGGCCCCAGTGGGGAGGTGGGAGCCCCTACGGGCCGCTAGCTTCCGTGTGCTAATACCACTGACCAAATATTCCACCCCGATGCCCAGCAAAAGTGCCCCAGGAGACAGAAGTGAGCCTGCACTGTGGAGACGCAGTAAGTGGCACTGAAGCTGCAGGAAGCCAGGCCTGCAGGATGCGCTTCAGGGAGAAGAGAAAGCGGGGCAGCTCCAACAGGCGCTCGCGGCAATTCAAAAATATGCACTAAGTTAGCATCAGGCAGAAGTCCCAGGAAGGGATCTCCTAGCACAGAAATAAAGGCTGCTCTCAGGCAGCATAAAATCAATCTGTCACTGGACATGAACATTAGCTGCATACAACGAATCCGTTTTACCTGTTCTTCAGAGAAGGGTAGGGGAAAAAATATCTACAAGTTACCTGCCAAGAAGTCTGGGGCTAATTTAACGGACAAGAGTCTGCCTTGGAAACGTGAGGCCCCAAGTCCAATCCCCGACGCTGCCCCCATTCTCCAAGTCACCCCCGCAGCACTGTCACTTGGGATCCCTGTGCCACCACAGAATGTGGGATCCCAAGTGCATGCGTATGAAGACCACGACTAGAGTGCGCACACGCCCTGGCTGGGCGTGGGTCCCTCAGCAGCACACCCAGGGCATGGGGGTGGGGTGGGGGGCGTTAAATAATAAGAAAATAAACGGAAACTATTTTTTTTTTAAATACCTGCAGAGATTTTGGTACCCAATATTCAAAAACAAAACCTAGGGAGTCATTTTGGTCAAAGTTCCCTGCAATCTCACCTGCAGGTCCCTTTGATCTGACATTTCATTCCAGTCATTTTTCTTCCTTGAGGGCTTTGGGCCTTCACCCCAAGAATAAAAACTGCTCCATTTAAGGCCAGCTGCACATGCTAGGGGGAAAGGCAGCTCTAGGGCGCACCAAGTAAAGGGTGTTGGGAGGATCCTCCCAGGATGGGAGACGCGTGCTGAAAGTAGACTATAGACCGAACATGATTGCCACTCAATGCCTCTTTTGCAAACCACAGCACCCAAAAGGAGAGAGAGAACAAAAGGGAATGCCCTGCCACAGAGGTGTGGTGGGATGGGGGAATGGGTGGGGTGGGAGGGATACTGGGATCAGTGGTGGTGAAGAATGGGCACTGGTGGAGGGATGGGTACTCAATCATTGTATAACCAAGCACAAAAACTTGTAAGTCCACAACTGTACTTCAACGTGTTTCACTAATAAAAATTTTTTTAAATTGCTCTATTTAATAAAAATGGAGAAAAAAAATACTTGCTTTCTGCGTTCTTTCTTGCATTTTGTAATATGGTTCTGATCAGGGCTCTTTTGCCTATCCAACAGTTTCCATAAGATGTGTGCCCTCACAGCGCTTACTGCCTGTCATCTGGCTCACCACGGTTAGCACTAACTTTACAAATGCCACAGGAAGAAAGCATTAAAAGCAGGAAGAAGGAAAATCCAGACTCAGTCTACCAGGCACTGCCCCCCCCCCCCCATCAAGAAAGATGATAGACATCTGAAATACACCACACAGGAGTAACAGATTCAAACCTAACAAGGGGTGAGCTTCGCCAGGGATGACTGGAGGATGAATCCTGGGCTCTGAAAGATGCTGCAGACTAGGTGAACAGGGGAACCTTCTAAGCATGAGAAAAACATTCACAGACACGAGCGTTGGAAGAAAAACAAGAGCGCGGTGGAGGGCACGGGAGGGGAGGGGGCAGGGTTGGTGATGATGATAGGCCTGACTGGATTCCCACTTTATTCTATGAACATAAAAAGAAAAACTGTGCTAGATTATGGTGAATACACCACAAGAGAGGGATTACGGATCTTCAGGCAGACGATCAAGAGGTCAAAAATACTGAGAATCTGGCAATTTCTACAGGACTGAACAAACAGAATTTGTTACACCCAGAGCAAGCACTGTGAGGGGCCAGAGCAATAATACCGTGGGCAGAGT